ATGATAAAGTCAGTATATATCGGTAGAACATAAAGTTTAGTACTTCATAATATATGATAAAGTCAGTATATATCGCTAGAACATAAAGTTTAGTACTTCATAATATATGATAAAGTCAGTATATATCGCTAGAACATAAAGTTTAGTACTTCATAATACATGATAAAGTCAGTATATATCGCTAGAACATAAAAGTTTAATACTTCACAATACATGATAAAGTCAGTATATATCGCTAGAACATAAAGTTTAGTACCTCATAATACATGGTAAAGTCAGTATATATCGCTAGAACATAAAGTTTAATACTTCACAATACATGATAAAGTCAGTATATATCGCTAGAAAATAAAGTTTAGTACTTCATAATATATGATAAAATCAGTATATATCGTAAGAACATAAAGTTTAGTAGTTCATAATAAAGTCGGCATTTATGGCTATAATACAAAGTTTAGTAGTTCGTGGTTTATGATAAAAGTTACTATATATTACGTTATAAAAGTTAATGAACCGAAAGAAACGTGTTGAGAGCTTTATTACAACTGGGGGGGGGGGAGATTGTATTTTTAGGAATCATTTAATTTTTTTATTTTTTAAATAACTGTTTCAGTGTCTATGACACCATCTTCAGGAGTAGCGGTAAAAGCAAGGTCAGGACTTATATACCCACCCACATAATCATTTACATACCAAAACGTCATCTAGACTGAAACTGCCCAGAGTTACAGCACATCTGTCCTGAAGATGGTGTCATAGACACCGAAACATATGTAGAGTCTTTTAAGGGCAAGTCTCTGTTTTTAATCACTATTTATTGTGTGATGGATTTAAGGTTGTATCCCTTTTAAATGTAAATAGATGTTTTACACAAGTGTCGTTTTTAAATTATGTCTTCTTCTTTTTTGATGAAGCTTTACATAAAGATAACTCGCGACAACCCACAAAGAACACAGCAGACATATTTAAAATTTGTGCTTATCTTGAGGGCTTTAGGCCTAACATTCTTTTATATTTCGACCAATCTAAATGAGAATTTGCACAACCAAATCTTACGAAAGTCCACACACGACTAAATCAAACATATTGGGAACTTATGACTTTCGGTTGATTTTACAGGAGTCAAAGTAAAGAAAAAATCTAAATATATATGTAATACGGTTGTTGTTTGTTATTAAGCACAAAGCAGCGCAAAGGGCTATCTGTGCTCTGCCCACCACGGGTATCGAAACCCGGTTTCTAGCTGTATATAAGTCCGCAGACATACTACTGTGCCATTGGGGAGCATGTAATAAGAAGCTCCTAATCTAGAGACATTGTCTGCATATATACATTTTACAAGAAGTTGTTACTGGGGGGCATGTTATAAGGTGCTCATAACCTAGAGACATTGTCTGCATATATAAATTTTACAAGGAGTTGTTACTGGGGAGCATGTAATAAGAAGCTCCTAACCTAGAGACATTGTCTGCATATATAAATTTTACAAGGAGTTGTTACTGGGGGAGCATGTAATAAGGAGCTCATAACCTAGAGACATTGTCTGCATATATAAATTTTACAAGGAGTTGTTACTGGGGAGCATGTAATAAGAAGCTCCTAACCTAGAGACATTGTCTGCATATATAAATTTTACAAGGAGTTGTTACTGGGGAGCATGTAATAAGAAGCTCCTAACCTAGAGACATTGTCTGCATATATATAAATTTTACAAGGAGTTGTTACTGGGGAGCATGTAATAAGAAGCTCCTAACCTAGAGACATTGTCTGCATATATAAATTTTACAAAGAACTGTTATTAATAGTGTTTTGGTTCACACAATGAACTAATTACACATAACGCGTTGAATAATGGGTACAAAAACTACCCATGTTTACTTTTCATTGTGAATAAATCTCTTTACGCAGTAACTGATTGTCTCGTGTCCAATAAGGTTACAATATACTATACTCCAATCCCTCTCTCTCAGAAAAAGTCTCAAGTTGATACTGTATTAAGTGTGTATCCCTCCGAAGTATGTATATATGTTGTAGTTTATGTCCCTTTCTCCTGCCTTTAAATACCGTTCTCTTTGAAATATACTGCATTCTGAGGATCTTATTGAATCAGATGGATTAGGGAAGACATATTACATTCGCTTGCCAATGTTTGTTGTCCTTCCTAGTTTCCGATATTCTTAATCCCCAATTTATTTCCTTATAAAATCGAAACGAAAATAACTCATTTTAAGGTCACTGCTTCATATTAATTGAAAACAAATTGTTTATTAAACACAGTGTCACATAGCGAATTTTTATCACATGTTTATTAAAGACAAAAACTCTGTTTACAACCAGATAAGGTGGAAAACGTAACGAATAGTGTTCTTGGAACTCAGACAATAGACTGGAATCTGTTTCATCGCCAGGGATCCATGTAAACGTATGTAAATATAGGTGACACTACACAGTACAACTTTACTATAGCAGTTGTAAGTGCTAACAATACCACGCAGTCTGTCCTCTTAACTGTAGCACTGTATGGTTTATTTAAATTTATGTTAGTAGCACTTATAAACCAATACGCAGTATACTAGTACAGTTACGTAGTATATTAGCATTTGTCCCACTTTTACAGTTTTACACGACAACAATAATAATACATAGTTTATTAGCATTTGTCCCACTTTTACAGTTTTACACGGCAACAATAATAATACATAGTTTATTAGCAGTTGTAAGTGCTAACAATACC